TTCTTATAATTTGGTGATCATTTTGAATATAAACATCATTTATTTTGCATTAAACATACAATTTTTAGATAAAAATTTTTCTCTAGGTAACTATGTTATCTTTTGTGCAAAATATATGACATTTATATTCAAAATATTCCTGGTCTTACAAGGAATCCAGCAATGTCAATTATATTATCCTAACTTTAGTTTGAGGTATTATTTATTAAAATTTAGTGGTTATCCCACACATCTCCTTGGGACGGTTGGTGGGGGTGGGGGGGAGGGAGGGACCAACCGACCATCTGTTACCGTGTGAAGAATTATTATTTTTTTTTATTAACTGAAGATATTTGTTTTAGCTCATAAAATTCATACAAATTACCCGGTCAGAATATAATTTACATTGCTTGAATTCTTATAATTTGGTGATCATTTTGAATATAAACAACATATATTTTGCATTAAACATACAATTTTTAGATAAAAATTGTTCTCTAGGTAATTATGTTATCTTTTGTCCAAAATATATGACATTTATATTCAAAATATTCCTGGTCTTACAAGGAATCCAGCAATGTCAATTATATTATCCTAACTTTAATCTGAGGTATTATTTAATACTAAATGTTAAAAACTCTTGAATGGAGGATTGGTGGGGGGTGGGGGGAGGGTTGGGACTGACCGCGCGGTTGGAAGAGGGGGGGAGGCAAGGTGGGGTACTTTGATTGACAGATAGTGTCCTGAAGATTATTTTTTTTTTATTAACTGAAGATATTTGTTTTAGCTCATAAAATTCATACAAATTACCCGGTCAGAATATAATTTACATTGCTGGAATTCTTATAATTTGGTGATCATTTTGAATATAAACATCATATATTTTGCATTAAACATACAAATTTTAGATAAAAATTTTTTCTAGGTAACTATGTTATCTTTTGTGCAAAATATATGACATTTATATTCAAAATATTCCTGGTCTTACAAGGAATCCAGCAATGTCAATTATATTATCCTACCTTTAATCTGAGGTATTATTTAATACTAAATGTTAAAAACTCTGGAAGGGAGGATTGGTGGGGGGTGGGGGGAGGGTTGGGACTGACCGCGCGGTTGGAAGAGGGGGGGAGGCAAGGTGGGGTACTTTGATTGACAGATAGTGTCGTGAAGATTATTTTTTTTTATTATTAACTGAAGATATTTGTTTTAGCTCATAAAATTCATACAAATTACCCGGTCAGAATATAATTTACATTGCTGGAATTCTTATAATTTGGTGATCATTTTGAATATAAACATCATATATTTTGCATTAAACATACAATTTTTAGATAAAATTTTTTCTCTAGGTAACTATGTTATTTTTTGTGCAAAATATATGACATTTATATTCAAAATATTCCTGGTCTTACAAGGAATCCAGCAATGTCAATTGTATTATCCTAACTTTAGTTTGAGGTATTATTTATTAAAATTTAGTGGTTTTCCCCCAAAAATTTCTCAGAGGGAAGAGCTGGCAGTGTAGTGTGAGAGGGGGAGGTAGTTGAGTCCATTATTTGAATGGACATTAACTTGGCGACTGTATTTCTCTATTTCTCTTAAGTATTAATTGTGTGCATGTACCATCATAAAATTAAGATGTTATTTTTACTACAACATAGGTATGTGCCTTCAAAAAGTGGAGTTTGGGGGTTGGGCCGGTTTCTATTGGAATTAATCCCATATGTTCTGTTGTTCACTTAACGCGGATTTCACTTAACACGGGACCCTCTGGGTTCTATTGACCGCGTTAAGTGGGGTACAACTGTATATATATATATATGTATATATATATATATATATATATATATATATATATATATATATATATATATATATATATATATATATATATATATATATATATATATATATATATATATATATACAGATATAGACATAGATATAAATATAGATATAGATATATATTTATATATATATATATATATATATACATATATAGATATAGATATATATATATATATATCCAATCAACACCACAACCCACCAGGATTCGAACCCACGGCCCACAAGCCTATGACTGTGACCGGGGAACGCTAACCGCTGGACCACCAGGATAATAAAAGCAGTCCTAGACTTTGTTATATTTCACACAAAGCCTGTTCAACGAGCTTATGGCGCCGTGAACCTCTAATGGGGACCACCCGTATCACTTAGGTGGTCAGAGTAACGTTTTACCAAATCCGGCTTCGAAACACGAGGATCCATATATATTTCATTAGCCCAATAAAGCACGCGGACTTCTACATACAATCAACACCTCAATCCTGGCGGTTGAGGTGTTGATTATATATATATATATATATATATATATATATATATATATATATATATATATATATATATATATATATATATATATACATATACACTATATATATATATATATATATATATATATATATATATATATATATATATATATATATATATATATATATTGATAAAATCACACGGGAAAAGGGAAACAACGGAGCACCTTAGCTTTCGTCTTTATTCAAGACATCTTCAGAGGCAACTGGATTACATGGATTACATTCATTACTTAGTAATGAAAGCACGTATTGTGAGCTTATGAAAGATCCCCAGGAAAATATTAATAAGTTATCTTATTCCAAAATGAAGATGTTATTGAAAAAGAACCCCGATCTCATCAAACAGCTCTCTCAAATCAATCCCACTTTACCTTATATGTATGGATTGATCAAAACACACAAGCTTAACAATCCATTACGTCCTATCGTGAGTTCTGTGGGTTCTGTTAATTACAATTTATCTAAGTGGCTGGTAAAGATGCTATCCCCTCTTACAGGCCAAATATCTAATTCACATATACACAATAGCAGTGATTTAATTGATAAACTCAAGAAACACAATGAACCTTGCGAATTAATAAGTTTTGATGTAAATTCACTGTTCACTAGAGTACCTGTGAAAGACCTACTTTCATTTCTTAAAGATAAATTACAACTGATAGATTTAACTATTGAACATGATACTTTCCTGAAATTGTTAGTTATGAGTAACTGACAATGTGTTTAGAGCAAATGGGAAGTTCTACAAGCAAATATTTGGCATGAGCATGGGTAATTGTCTTTCTGCTCCTCTAGCCTGTATTTATATGTAGTTTTTTGAGTCTAGATTACTACCCAATATAGTGGACTTTATTCCTCCGTGGTATAGATATGTAGATAATGTTCTTTGTCTTTGGCCTAGAAACAGTGACCCATTGGAATTTTTAGACAAGCTTAATGATATTGTCCCAAGTATCACATTCAAAATTAAAAGAGAAATAAATGGATCCCTTCCATTCCTTGATATGCTGATCATGAGAAATGGCCAAAACTATAAATTTAAGGTATACAGAAAGCCCACACAGGTAGACAGTTTCATTCACTTTTTATCGAATCACCTGGAGTCTACCAAAATGTCAGTTTTTTCTGCTATGTTCTTAAGATGTCTGCGTATTTGTGACTGAATTTATTGACGATGAATTGAAACACATTCGTTCCATTGCACAGAAACTCGGGTACCCTTCTGTGTTTGTTGATCGTTGTTTAAAAAGGGCTAAAAAATCCTTTCATTCCTCTCAAACCAGACAAGTTCCTACACTTAAGAATATTTTGACTCTGCTCTATCGTAATGAATTTGTCCCGTTAGTTCGGTCCCTCAAGCTTCTAAATATTAATGTTGTTTTCAAGTATGACTCAATCATTACCAATATGTTAATAAGGAACAGCCCAAGTTTGAATGTAAATGGAAGTGTTTATTGTATTCCATGTAGCAAATGTAATTGTAATAATATAGGACAGACAGGAAATACACTGCAGCTCAGAATCGAACAACATAAGTATAATATCAGAACAGCATCTGAAAGCAGTGCCTTGTTCGTTCATGTTAGGAATAATAATCACCCCATTGCTTGGGATAAAAAGCTTAGAAGTATTTAAATCATCTTGTGTCACAGAAAGACTTCTGGTTGAAGCTAGTTTGATTAAGGAATTAAAATCAATAAACCTTAGTGATGGTCAGTTCAAAACTGATAATATGTTACATAAATTTATTTGTCAGTGGCCCAAGGTTAAAAATGGTTTGAAAACCTTTGATCTAGATGTATGAAAGTTATTTTGTGGGTCCCTTATTTTTGACCTGACTTGACTAGTCACGTCACCCCCTTCTCTTAAGCTCTTGTACGTGTGTGTTGGTGTGTGGATTAGTGGATGACATCATTATGACCTGACCTCATGTTTTTAAGGTCACCCTGTATATTTAAGCCTCTCTCTGTCCATGTAATCCAGTTGCCTTTGAAGATGTCTTGAATAAAGACGAAAGCTAAGGTGCTCCGTTGTTTCCCTTTTCCCGTGTGATTTTATCAAGATTTATCTTATCCACGTTTTCATTGTGGATTTACATGATATATATATATATATATATATATATATATATATATATATATATATATATATATATATATATATATATATATATATATATATATACTTGTATATATATATATATATATATATACTTGTATATATATACATATATATATATATATATATATATATATATATATATATATATATATATATATATATATATATATATATATATATATATAATATAAAAGTTTGGTGGCACCATCTACATCTTATATTGTGTGACCTCTGACCTGAAGATTTTGTTGGTCGTCAGAATTGTTGTTTTAGTATATTGTATATAATTGTTTTAAAGTGTGGTGATAGCCCTTCGCAGTTGTTTACAGTCAATTATAAAGTCCGATAACCTCTCCCCTTGAATCACAAGATTCAGACTCATGAATCCGAAGCATTTATGGACAACAATGTATCAGGCTACTTCTTTGGGTTCATGAGTCTGAATCTTGGAGTTCGTGGTTCTGGAAAAGAGGCGAACGGAACTTTAGTGGCCGACTGTTCTCTAGTGATACTTCCCAACAGACACCAAGGCCAGCATCACAGAGGCCAAGACCATGACAAAACAAGCTGAAATGAAACTAAAACACAGTAAAGAAGAACTGAAGAAGAAAGAACAAGAAATGAAATGTACTTCTGCAGAATACACAAAGGACAAATCTTTCCTGGATAGGATGGAGAAGGAAGTTAAAAATCTTGAGGTAAGTTCAAGAAAAAGTAGACCAACTCTGATAACTTATATATATAGGAACAACACTGGTCAGGAATGAATGAAATAATATAATGATGGGATGTGTAAATCAAAGACGAAACTTTTTAAAGATTATGTAAGATAATAAAAACTTGAACTAATTGAAAGGTGTTGAGGAGAGAGATAAAGTGACTCAGATGGTTGGATGTACAGTACATTGATGAACTTGATCCTTCAGTACAATATATAAAGATGCTTTATATCTTCTGTATCTCAATAGACTTTTTTTTTATTATATATATTATAACCTATGGAGCCTCCTTTGTAACTTAAAATATAGAAGTCACTGCCAGTGTCCAGGAGGCAGATAGTGCTTCACAACAGGGTACATTTTCCATAGAGTCGGTGTTTGCTGCAGGTAATGATACTCTGCGTCTATGAACTTGGTGACTCAGGCTCGTCACTTACTAAATCTTCATGGCCTGGACCAGTTACCATTGACAATAGTGGCTGGGACTTAATTGTTTGATAAGTCATTCCTTCACATTGCAGCTGTCACCCTTAAGTCTGTCATGAGGAATGAGAAATCCTGTCCTTACAATGGTGGATGAGATAACACATTTTGGTATACACATGCCAAAACTCTACCTGGGCTAAGTGTGACTGGAGGTAATCCAGAGATCAGGTAACTCCGTGACAATCGTTGCTCAAAAGTGAAAGGATAACGGTCACAATTTGTCTTAAGACGTCGGGGGTAACAAGTCACGACACTGTACAGGTCTTTTGTTACACTGCTCTTGTTGTGTCTCATCTGAGAGTCATAAACAATGTTTGCACTAATACACCCTCACTCCACTCACCAGCGTATCTAAGTAAAAGTTTTTGTCATGCTAAAAGTTAGGACTAGTCGATGTGTTTTATGTCATAAAATAATATTTATTAGGTGTAATACTTATAGTAAATATTTAGGTTTATAATGTCAATGACTGTTGGTTCCTGCCAGCCAGTCTTAGAGAACTCCAGTGATATTTGTGTTTCAGACTCAACTGGGGAAGCTGGACTATGATGACAGTAAAGTGGAGGAGCTGGAGGGGGAGCGTCGCCTTCTCAACAACCAGATTATGAACCTACAAGAGAAAGTAGAACATCTGGAGTCCAGGTACAAGTTGGACCCACCCCAACCTATTTCTAAGTCTGTCTCCCACTGTCTCTATCTGTCTGTATATGTCACTGTCTCTCTGCCAACACCTCTCTTACAGACATAACAGGTTTATTTTCTACTACCCACCATGGGTCCCTCATCCATACCACTATTCAATACTTTTGTTTTTGTCACATTCACCCAGAAACCCTGTGATACCATTCCATCCTTCCATTTCTTAAATTTCTCCACTGCCTCATCAATACTATCTGCTTCAACACTAACTCATCAGCAAACAACAACTCCCATGGCAGACTAGTCTTTTAAGTCCCATGAGAGTGCCTCCAGCACCATGATAAATAGAAGGAGACCCAAGACATACCCCTGATGGAGTCCTACTTTCACCACAGATTCCTCACTTTCCTCGCCATTTATTCTCACAACAGTTATTTGAGCCTTCATATAATATCAAGACCACTTGAACAAGACACTCAACTCTGAGCTTTTGCATTGCCCGCTGCACTACCTCATATGGTATGCTGTGTGATGTCTTCTCTCTAATTTAAATGCAAAATTCAGCTTCTCTCCTTTTGTTGATATTTTTGTTGTTGTTGCCTGGCCATAAATATTGTCTCTGTTGCCCCCATACCAGGCCTGAACCCAAACTTCAATCAATTTTGTCCACTCTCTGTTATCAGTTTCTTGGTCACTCTTTTCGTAGCTTTAATAACCTAATCTAACAGCTTGAGGTCCCTGTAGTTCCCACATTCAAGTGCATCACCTTTACCCCTAGATGTACTCACGATCACATTCTTCCACCATTTAACCAGAACAATACATTATATTAATCAATTTGGTCACCATCAACTGGATGTAAAAGTTCATTTCAGTGTGTTGTCCTGGCAACTGTCTGTATGTAACATACATAGTGCTGGTGTTTTAAGACTCATATGACTTTCACTTGGCATCTGCATATCAGCCATGGCATAAACTTTTATTGTCATCAGGTAACCACAACTAACCCAAGCAAGTCTGCAAAATGGACATAAAGCAATGATGATGATGTATACATACAGTAATTTGTTAATATGAACATATGATAAGATCATTGTTTAATTTTCAGGTATCCCCAGTTATGCTTCAACTACAAAGACCCAGAGAAAAATTTTAATCACTCATTAGTAAAGGGGCTGGTGTGTAAGCTTGTGAAGTTGAGGGACCCTACCACAGCCACTGCTTTGGAGGTTACAGCTGGGGGGAAGGTGAGTACAGTACATTACAGTAATGGTTTTGACATGACAGTTTGGGTATACAGCACCACCTTGCTTAGTGCTTCAATAGCTGTCCTGATAAAAATGTGTCACTATGTAGTAATTCCAATAATTTATTGTATTTGTTAGAGTTGAGAGGAGAACTGTAAGAGTGAAGCATATTAGAGGATCTGGTTGGTAAGTGAGGAAAATAAGAGTTGACAGTATCATGTGTGCCTTTGTGAATGAGGAAAAGTTAAGTGTGGAGTGTAGTAGGAGCCAGCACAAAGAGGAGGTGGCTCTGGTCCACTTGTCTGACTGTGAATCTGTAAACTTCCAGAAAGAGAGTAACACAAAACTTAGGTGTACAGTACTGCAGGAGACAGGATGAGGCAAGATGTATGGAAGATGTTAACAATGGAAAATCTTAGAAGATACTCTAGGATGAGTTTATCAAGCTTATTGTCACATTTGGGACTGAGTGAGTGATAGATAACAATTGAAGGTATACAGTAATGTAACGGAGTACAGTATAGGGGTTCATTGGCCAAGTGTTTACACCTTGCTGCCTGTCCAGAGAGTTGGTAGTTAATGCCCAGGTCAACCGCCCCCCCCCCCCCACACACACACACACACACACAAAACTACAACTGGGTACCTAACTATAGTAACTATAGTTAGCAAAATACAGGCAGTCAAGTGCAGTGCTGACCTCGCTACCACCAAACAGTTTACTAAAGGCTGTATGGTGTGCTGTACTGTACCTTATAGGTAGCCCTCCACACGTGTAACATCAGTGAACGACCCTGCCGGTCTCGTATTGGCCCCTTTCGTCACCAATGAAGGTGACATCCTTATTAACTCATCATTGTATCATAGCTGGATGATCATCATACTCGATTTCGAGTGACAGCAAAGTAGTAACTAGTAATAGGCCACAGGCCAAAGAAACCTATTGTCACTTTCAGCTGAACTTTAATTTGTTAGTAGTGCTTTACCTGTGTATTAGGTGATTTGAAAACAAATATAAAGAAAAGAAGCCTACTCTATTATAATGTATGAGTGTTTTTCTATAGTACAATTAGGAGAGTAAATTGTAAGAAGCATGAACACGAATGGTGAAAATATAAGTGGCAAATGTGTGTAGACAGTACAGTAATCTGATTATAGTAGGTACAGGTGTGTGTGGGAGGGAGAGAGAGAGAGAGAGACCTATGAATAAATATTGTCAATTTTATGTGAAATAGTATGAGGCCAGGCTTGTGAAAAGATGTCGGAGTACAGCAAAGAGAGAGCTGTAAAGAGGAAGATATGAAAGACTGTTTACATGTTAAAATGTGGATTCTACAATATTAGTTACTAGACTCCAAGCAAGAGAGGTAATGGTGTGTGGTTTTGTCTTATGGTCTTGTTATGATGTGAACGATGAAGTGGAGGAGTTCTTAGAGTGAGTTAGATGAAGGAACTGCAAATGTAAACATAAAGGAGAGAGTGTTGGGAGAGGAGACCTAGCTGGGTGGATGAGTGGATGTTCTGGAGCATCGTGGGTTGTGTGCATCAGTGGGCTTGTGTGTGACAAACAGTTACTGTATTATGAATTCAAACATCTACGGGACCAGTCCTCAAATATACGTTGTAGACATAAAGATGACTGGGTAGAGAGCAGTGATATAGTTGAGACTGTGACCACAAATGTGGTTGTACATAATTTTAGCCTTTATTGATCACTGGAAAGTTAGTGTGCTCCCCCCCCCCCTCCGATAATTTGAGGGTGGTAAAAACTTCAGGCTGTTAACCCTTTCACTGCAACAATTTGTTTATTTGCCCCGGCAGTGCACCAGGATAAACAAAATTAATAAAATATAAGTTGCTTTGACACTGAATTATTAGGGTTCACAGTCCTGGTGAAGAAGAAAATGTTCAACTCAGCTGGATATAGTGTTAAAACTCAGCTGGATATAGTGTTAAACCGTAGGCTCCGGGCGACTTTCCAGAACGCTCGCCTATTCTCGCCACTGTTTAAATGCCCAGCGCAGGTTATCAGGTTCCCGTGTGACTATTTTACCTGTCACACCACACACTCGGCCACAGGGAAGCTTCCTACTTTTTTTGTTTCATTTTCATTGTTTGTCTATTTTATCATGTTGTATCAAAGTAATATTGCAAAAAGTAGTGTAGTTGTATTGTAGGGTAGTATTACTGGAAAACTATGCTATGATTATGTTATAAATGTATTTATTTGTGGAATTATTATTATTTTATACATTACTTGCTCTACCAAACACAAAGACAGCCAGGCAGACTGGCGACTGACTGGTGATTGTTGTCAAGCACTTTTTATGAAAAATAATGCAAATTAAATATTCTAAATTAATTATTTATAGCAAATAAGTATTAAGATCAGTAAATACATACATTATTGGCCACTTTGGACACAAAGGCGAGCTAAAAATAGTTGCTAAGTGCTGAGGACCAAGAGTGTCAGCTGTCAAACCAACACTCTCCTTATCTACCCCCCTCCTCCCTCCCCCTGTGTGGCCAGGGAAGTTTCTAGAGGGTCAATATATATTTTTTCTACTTATTTTTTTATTGTTTTATCATTTTCAAAGGTTAAAAATTATTTTTGGCAAAGTTGATTTTTCTCGATTTACCCCGGCAAGGGGGGGGGGGGGTACTGCCACCAGCACCCTAACCCAGGGCTTAAGGGTTAACTGGTCTGTTTAGAAAAGTCTATACTGTAATTATAAATGCTTTAGGGAATGAACTTTTGGTTGTTCAATGAGGTTGACACTTAATAGTGACTGACTATGTGCACTTTTTACAGCTATATAATGTTATTGTGGACTCTGAGGTAACTGGCAAGAAGCTGCTGCAGAATGGACAGTTACAGAGAAGAGTTACCATCATTCCTCTCAACAAGATCACAGGACGGTCTATTGATGCCCACATAGTCAAACAAGCCGAGAATTTGGTAAGGGATGTTGGCTTTATCAGTACAGGTATCCCCTAATTTACATAAGTGTTCCATTCCAGAAAACTTTTTGTAAATAATGCTTTTAGTAATTTTATTGGTTGGGGGCATGATAGTTCATTGACAGGATGCAATATTCAAAGAAAAACACATTTACATAACTCTTCATCAAGTTACACCAGAGAGGTATTAAGGTAACATAAGAATGGAGGAAACTGCAGTGGGCCTATTGGCCCATACTGGGCAGTCCCATTTACACTCAACCCCTATTGCTCATATATCTATCCAAACTATATTTGAAGCTATCCAGCTATCCAGTTAATGATGATGTTTGGTAACTTGCTCCACTCATCCACCACTTTATTTCCAAACCAATGTTTACCTATCTTGCGCTTAAATCTAAATTTGTCTAATTTAAAACCATTTTTATGAGTTCACTCCTGGTTGGATAGTTTGACTATCTTTGTTATATCACCTTTGTTTAGCCCTGACTTCCATTTATACACCTCGATCTTATCGCCCCTCACTCTACGTCTCTCGAGGGAGTGCAGATTTAGATGTTTTAACCTGTCTCTGTACTCAAGGTTCCTAATGTCCAGGTTTAGTCTTGTCTTTCTCCTCTGAATTCTTTTTAGGGATTCTATATCCATTCTGTAGTACGGTGACCAGAACCGAACTGCGTAAACCAAGTAAGGTCTTACAAGCGCAAAATATAGTTTTAGGATGACCTCCCTAGTCTTGTAACTAACACTCCTTTGTATGAACCCAAGTACTTTGTCAGCCTTGTTTCGAGCAAATACACATTGTTTACTAGGTTTAAGATTCCTACTTATCATGACTTCTAAATCTTTCTCACATTCGGTTTTCTCTATAACATCGTTGTTCATCTGGTATCTGGTTTCTCTGTTTACATCTCCTAGACTAAGTACTTTACATTTGTCCACATTAAATATCATCTGCCATTTTTCAGACCATTTGAAAAATTTCTTTAGATCTTCCTATAGTTTTGCGGAGTCCTCGTCAGATTTAATTACATGTCCCATTTTAATGTCATCAGCAAATTTATTTATGTTGCTGTCTATGCTGATATCTATGTCGTTTATGTATATCATAAATAATAATGGCCCAAGTACTGAGCCTTGGGGTACTCCACTAGTGACTACTCCAATCAGATTTCAATCAGATTTAGTGCCGTTAATGCTTTCTCGCTGTTTTCTGTCCTGTAACCAAGCCCTAATCCATTTTAGAATATCTCCTCCAATACCATGAGCCTCCACGTTTCTTCTTAGTCCTTTGTGAGGGACTCTGTTGAAGGCTTTGCTAAAGTAAAGATATATCACATCATAGTCATGCCTGTCGTCCACTGATTCGAAAACAGCTGAAAAGAATGTTAATAGATTAGTTAGACATGAACACCCGCTTGTGAAGCCATGTTGGGAATCATTGATCAACTTATGCTTCTCCAGGTGATTTTGAATAGAGTTTGAAATTATTGCTTCCAGTCATTTGCCTACAATTGATGTTAAACAGTAGTTAGAGGATAGTGATGTATCTCCCTTCTTGAAAATCGGTATTACATTCGCTATCATCCTGAAAATCGGTATTACATTTGCTATCATCCAGGATTCTGGTACTACACCCGTTTTTAATGACATGTTAACCAAATTTGCTTAGGGCAAATATCTCTAAAGGACCTGGTCACTTATTAGGCTTTAGCTTGTGTTACTGCTCTCTCGCTTAATCTACTTTCTTCACTATCTCTGTATATAGTCGGTGCCTTAGGTATCATGTCTAAGTTTTCGGTGGTGAAAACTGTTGAAAAATATCTATTCAAATTAATGCTCATTTCTCCGTCATTATCAGTTAGCTCGCCGGTATCTGACTGTATTGGTTGAATATTTTCTCGTGTTTTAGTTATATGCATTTGAAAAAATCCCTTGGGGTTTGACTTTGCCTCCCTTGCTACCTTCAGTTCATTATTCCTCTTTGTTTTTCTTATCTCGGTCTTCACCCTACTGGCCAATACTTTATAATAATCTCGGAGGTAAACTTCACCACGATTTATTCTCTTACCTATAGTCTTCCTTTGTCCAATAATATTCTTTAAATAATTTTTTATCCATTTAGGGTCATTGTTGTTTGATCTGAGTTTTCTGTATGGTATGTTCTGCCTTTGTGCATTAACTCTTTAGGTGCGTAATTAAATTTCGCGCCGGTTCCTGAAAAGTGTCAATTATCCTGCCAAAAATGAATTTCATATAATCACATTTTCTATATGTTTTTCCTAGAGAACTTTTAGTATATTTTCCAAATCTGGAACAAAAATTCACATATGTGCAAATTTTAGAGAAAAAATGACATTTATACCCAAAAATGCAGGAAATTGGTATAAATCAATGTCTGGTATATGCCAAATAAATTTAATCAATTTGGTTACTAAACAGCAAATTTAGATATGTATTACATATTCAGATAATATCAAACAAAATAGTACAAAAATAAGCTATATTGCATTCAGGAAATACTCCTATACCTCAATACATAATATGTCCGCATGTCGTCTCATTTGGGGAAGTTTTTTCAAGGCCGTGGGATATCCCCGCTTGTCGCATTTAATTAATATAATATTTTGGGCGGGTTTACCCGCATGTCGCATCCAAAGGGTTAAGTAACTCATTATTTAAATTGTAGTGGAACTTGTCAACCTCAGATCTCATGATCAGGTCTTCCTCAACTGTCATATTTTGTTAAGTTATCGTTGTTAGGTCACCAGGTAAAGTGAGGTCGTCCTCTGTGGGAACCTTATGTGAGGTCATGTAATTCACCCCCAAATGTGATACCCCATCTCTCAGCTGCCTTTTCAAAGTGTCAAAGTTTGCCCTTCTGAAATCCGGGACATTAATGGAGTTTTTCTTGCGACTGCCATTAAATTCTAATTTGAATCTTCTTTGTGATCGCTGTTAGCAAGTTCGTTCCCTACCTTGACATTACTAACGAGGTTTTCTCTGTTTGACAGAAATAAATCGAGTATATTATTACCCCGGGTGGGTTTGGCTATATGTTGGCTTGGGAAACAGTCCTGAACTGTTTCAAGAAAATCCTCTGATTCTGAGTTACCCATAAGTTCGGTCCAATCTGTTTGACTTAAGTTAAAGTTGCCAACTATACAGACTTTGCTATGTCTGAATGCCCTGCATATTTCATTCAAATAAGTTGCTCAATAACCTTATTGAGATTAAGAAGGCAATATATTAGTCATATGATTAATTGTCCCTCTCATCGGTTAATTCTATCCAAATTTTTTCTCACTTTAGTTCAGTTTTTATTTCCTTATTTATTTCACACTTCAGTTTATCCCTGATATAGATTGCTACTAGTAGTTTGATAGTTGTTCACATGGGCAGCCAACAATCAGTATATGTAAAGAAATTATACAATTCTTTGTGTTACAGTTTTTAGTCCTGCCACTGAAGATGACCTGTTGTTGAATATACAGTAGAATGTCGATTTAATGAGAATCGATTTAAGATTATTGACTTAAAGCGACACCCACAATTAAGGACAATGTTTCAATTTAAAGCGAATCTCCTATTTTGCGTGAGTCAATCTGGCGCATTATATTTAAAATTTTGCGCCTAATGTTTCTCTAGTCACTTCTGTGACATTTTATAAGCAAAAAACATAAACTCAAACTAAAGGGCATAAATAAACAAATAAATACTTCACTAGACCTTTGGCAGTGCAACTGTCAAACATGTCACTGTCAGCCCCCCTCCCCCACCCAATCTTCCCAGCCAGGGTTTAGTGTTTTTGGCTTACAGTTTTTATCTTACGTATATAATATCACAGACTAAAGTTAGGAGAATATAATTTGTATTACTGGAATCCTTGCAAAACAGTGAATAATTTGAATATAAACATCATATATTTTGCACAAGAGATAAAATATTTTGCTCTTTGTATGTCTAATGCAAGCTGTAGCATGTTTATATTCAAATTAATCACTATCTTATAAGAATTCCAGCAATGTTAATTATATTCTCCCTTATCAGTTCAGTGACATTTTATGAGAGAAAAACTTAGTCACTCATAAGGATAGATAAATAAATAAGCACTAGACCTTGGCATCAACTGTCAAACATATCACCTCACCTCACCTTCCCCCCCCCTAATCTTCCCAGCTAGTAAACAGACCATTTCACATCCCATAATTATAGCTGTGTTGATTTATGAGTGTTTGTTTCAACATAATACTACAAAAAACAATGTTTTGTTTATTCTAGGAGATGGGCTGAGGTGCATCTGGGTAGACTGTCAGTCTTTTTAGTATTTTGTGTTTCTCTCAAGTACCAAACTAAATTATCCCATTGAAAGAACACTTCAATCTAGCGCGAATTTGGTATAAAGCAACCTTTCTTGGAACATATCTTGCGTTAAATCGACGTTCTACTGTACATGGTTAATACTTGCAGTTCTCACTATGTACACCAGCTGGTATACCACTGCTGTATGGCTCACTCAACCTTATATGGTGATAAGTGTCTTTTCACCTGATTACATTATTTTTATTATTATGATTAATATTAGTAGTAGTAGTATAGGTGGGGACACATGACATCCTCCATCCCATTCCTTGTTGGTTGATGACATGTAAGTCATAAATAGAAGTTTGAAATAAGGAAATTCCATGTTGGAACTGAGGAGAAGAAATTAGTTAGGTATAGTAGTTTCCCATTCTCTTCTCTTGGTAGGAATAGAATTGAGGAGAATGAAGGGCAGGAATATCACTATCCTTATATGATATAGTAGAACGTCGGTTTAAAGCGATTCAATTTAAGATTATTGATTTAAAGCAACACCCACAATTTAAGGACAATGTTTTAATTTAAAGCGAATCTTTCCTATTTTGCGTGAGTCAATCTGGCTCATAATATTTTAAAATTCACGCCTAATGTTTCTCTGGGCACTCTACATTGTTCTAAGGGCAAAGCTGTACTGTACATGTACTCAAAATAATGTACTAAATGATAACTTAAACTTTTGTCTAGTGCAAACTATAGCATGATTATATTCAAATTTATCACTATTTTATAAGAATTTCAGTAATGTAAATTATATTCTCCTCGGTCACTTCTGTGACTTTTGTAAACAAAAACAAAAACTCAATTTAAAGGACATAAATAAACAAATAAATACTTCACTAGACCTTGGCGCTAACTGTCACACATGTCACTGTCACCTCCCCCCCTCCCACACCTTCCTAGCCAGGGTTTGGTGTTTTAGGCTTACAATTTTTATCTTATATAATATCACAGACTAAAGTTAGGAGAATATAATTTGTATTGCTGGAATCCTTGCAAGACAGCGAATAATTTGAATATAAACGTCATATATTTTGCACAAGAGATAAAAATTTAGCCCTTTGTAATAAAATTAATTAGAACATGTCAGTTCAATGACATTTTATAAGAGAAAAACTTAGTCACTCTTAAGGAGAGATAAATAAATAAGCATTAGACTTTGGCATCAACTGTCAAACATATCACCTCACCTTCACCCCCCCCCCCCATCTTCCCATCAGCTGATCACTAGTAAACAGACCATTTCACGTCCCATAATTTTAGCTGTGTTGGTTTATGAATGTTTGTTTTAACATAATACGACAAAAACAATGTTTTGTTTATTCTAGGAGATGGGCTGAGGTGCATCTGGGTAGACTGTCAGTCTTTTTAGTATTTTGTGTTTCTCTCATGTACCGAACTAAATTATCCCATTGAAACAACAATTCGATTTAGTGCAAATTCAGTTTAAAGCGACCTCTCTTGGAACGTATCTCGTGTTATATCGATGTTCTCCTGTATAAGGGACTCAAAACACATGTTTGGCAACCACTGAACTGAAGTCTTGTTGGTCCTTGAAGCAGCCACCAAATTGGAAGTGATTCATATCTGTAATTGAACCATTATCCAACATTGTTCATCTGGATAATGTTTCCTATGTGGGTTCTCTGGATAAGGAAGGCTCCTTTGGGTAACCATTTAGCTGTATGGATCTCTCACATCACCAGGTTCTTCTCTTAGGTCAGAAAGTGCTGTCTCATACATAAATCATTCATATATTGTTGATTATTTTAATATTGGTTTTGTATTTTTGTTCCATGTGTTTTCTTTTAAATTTATTGTCCTTTATTTCAAGCTTTTCTTTTATGGTTTCAGGTAGGCAAGGAGAATGTGCAGACTGCGCTGTCTCTTGTGTGCTATGATCATGACCTGCACAAGGCCATGGAATGGGTGTTTGGCTCCTCCTTCATCTGCCATGACATGGATGTGGCTAAACAGGTCACCTTCAACAAGAACATTATGAGGAAGTCTGTAACACTAGATGGTGATGTGTTTGATCCAGCTGGTACCCTGACAGGTGGTAAGTCAACTATTATTGAAACACTCCTTCCTGCTCATTGAAACACTACTATAAGTATCCTTTCTGCTCCTTGAAACACTCTCCTTCATGCTCCTTGAAACACTCTCCTTCCTGCTCCTTGAAACACTACTATGAGTATCCTTCCTGCTCCTTGAAACACTACTATAAGTATCCTTCCTACTCCTTGAAACACTACTATGAGTATCCTTCCTGCTCCTTGAAACACTACTATA